TATCATCATAAAATCTTTATGTGCAGCTTATATGACATGAAATTCGCAACACCACTGGTGACATTCTCAATGCTTAACCTTGTTGTGTTAGGGAGCCTTTACAGAAGTGTCATCTTTTAAGTGTTTCCCTGGTATCTGTTGGGAATGTGTTTTAGCCACTAGCTATGCAGGATGAAATGCAGGGGAGGGCCCCTGGTTTTCAGCTTAGCCCATGTATGCGTGTGTGTCCGTAATGTTCATACGTTTGCTCCTGTATCATATTCTTTGGAAATAGCTGCAGAAACAAAGGAAAGTGATAAAGGAAGTTTAAAATCAGACTTTAACACATAAATATGATAAAACACCTATAGGATCAAACCTGGGTGGGGGGGCTCTGTAAAGCATATATGATAAAAGACAGGAAACAGAAAATAAATTAAAAGGGAACCCAACATATAGTACATTTGTGTTTAAAGCTGAGCCAGGGAAGATTATAGTAAAAAGGCCTACAGGAAAATTATCAATTTTATAAACCCCATCAGTTGTGTCTTACAGAGAAATCGCTATAATGCCTGTGCGTGTGTGTGTGTGTGTGTTGAGTCTTCAGCATTCACTTGTGAGTCCCCTGATAATGAAGAGTCGAGTCATCAAACAGAGGGTTCTTCACTTCCATCTCTCCAGTCTGTCGAGGAGGAAAAAAAGGAATAAAACAAACACCAGAAAAGATTAGTTTTTTACGTGTGTGTGTGTGTGTGTGTGTGTGCGTGCGTGCATGTGTGTGCGTGTGTGTGCGTGGGTGCGTCTACCCACTGGTGCAAGTCCAGGACACTCGTATACTGTGAAGTCTCCTCCCACCTCTTCCTCATCTGATGTGGCCTCATTGTCAAGGACTTTTGGTTCAGGTTTGTTACTGCAGAGGGAGAAAAACAACCATCTGAGGTTTTGCATAGAGGAACCACAGTGGTTAAAAATGTTGAACCTGCATGGAGGGGTGAGAGGCAGGAAAAGGTGACGTGACAGGAAGAGTGAAGACAAACAGACAGGCATAAACTCACTTTCCCATTGAGAGCATCTGCTGCTTCTGATGTTGGTAGTGATACATTTGAGCGTTCTGGGCCAGAGTCTTATCTCCCATCTGAGGGGGAAAACAGAAGAAATGTGGAAGTGTGAATGACACCAGACATATTTCAGGGTTATTTCAAAAGAAGTGAGAAGTGGCGAGAAAAGCAAGCGCAAAAAAAAGTAAACGTAAGATTGCTTACAGAGGAACCTGCGGCCGGGGCAGGGGGCTGGCCGCCCCCCCCGAAAGCAGGGTAGTCAACCTTCTGTACCAGACGCGCTTCTTTCTGTGTCCTGTGGGGGACATGATTGATCTGAGTCTCATGCAATACTGATGCTTGTTCCCTGCATCTGGCCTAAAAAAATCCTGGATGATGATACATGAAAAGCCAATGGACGCAGGCTCAAACCCACGAGTGATTATTATTTGGACAGAAACACGAAAGCAGATTGAGCTGGTTTAGTTATTAAGTAATCCTCGTCTTGCTTTACTTGTGTCTCAATGTGTTGAGACTTACTTGATGAAACAGACAGTTGCCAGGATCACTGCCACGGAGCCAACAGTGACACACAGCGAGATCAGAACTGCACAGCGATACAAACAAAACAGGGAGGGAGTAAATTTAATCTTTGCTGATTTCAGTGCATTTGGCATTTATGGTCATCTTGAGGTGTCGCAGTGTTTAGGGCATCGAGTCGTACTCACCGACGATGATCATGTCATTCCTGGGTCCGGCGACCAGCGAGGGATCCGCTCGGTCATCAGCTACACTGACTCTGGGCTGTGGGGTCGGTGGGTCAGAGAGGGTGGGGCCTGGGGCAGCGGTGACAGCATGCAGTCTTACATCAGAGGGACGGGTCTGGTTTTTCTGGTCATGTCTGGGAGCATCTGTCTCTGTCTTTTTAACATCTGTCTTGGAGGTGATGGCACCTAAGAGAGGGAGAGGTGACAGAGTTATAATCAGAAAGATAAGATATTCCTTTATTAGTCCCACAATGGGGATATTTGCAGTATTACAGCAGCAAGAGTCAAAAAGGCATCAGCAGGTAATAAGTAATACTTGAGTGTAAGGGGATCAGGTGAAAAACCCAAAAGAGGTACTGGTTTTAAAGCAGCAAAAGAAAAGGTACTAACAAAAATATTATTCTATTCAAGAAAAACTGAACTGAAATAAAACATCTTAACTCAAACAGGAAGTGATTCATGTCTTGCTCATTTTAAACATACATTTTTATCTAAAGATCGTTCTCTTAGTTCTCACCAGGATGTTTGGACTGCTTCTTCGGAGTTTTGATCTCTGACACTTCCTGTTTTTCGATGACAGACTGAAGGAAATCGATCTCTTCGTCCAGGTCCGGGTAGAGAGTCACTGCACAGGACAAACAAGATTCAAACTTATCTACAATTTTCTTTTGAAGAAAATGTTGCCTGTATTAACAATGAAGAGTAACTGTGAAATCAGGAGAGAGTGGGGGAAGACATGCAGCAAAGGGCCAGGTCGGAATCGAACCTGTGGCTGATGCAGGGCAGCTCAACTCTCTACACTGTAGAGAGTTGAGCTGCCCAGTATGTATAAGTCTGGATAACACAATTATTGAGTCTTGTCCAAAACCCATGAAGAGAGAGAGAGAGAGACAGAGACAGAGAGAGAGAGAGACAGACAGAGAGAGAGAGAGAGAGAGAGAGAGAGAACACCTATGCTGAATCGGGCAGATGTATACATGTCTATTCTCAACAAGTCTGTTTCAGGGCCTTGTCTCTGAAGTGATGGACGGGGAGTGTGCCCATGTGTCTTGTTTGTTTGTGGACTGGTTAAAAAAGAGGGGACAATACTAAACGGTTGTTAACAGCCCTTAAGGCCAGACAGCGAGCCACATTCCTGCAGCGCTGTCGTGGTCACCAGGGAGACAACAGTGTGTGTGTGTGTGTGTGTGGCCACAGGAGGAAGCACCGCAGGGGGGCAGGAGCAATCAGCCAAACCTTTGCCTCACGGAGCTCGAGTCGCCACGCTCACAATAGTGCCCATAGCTCGCTGTTAGGGAGGCGATCAAAGTGTTGTTTTCCCTGTAATATATCAAATATCAAATCATAGGGGTTTGAACTAGAAGCTGATGACGCTGAAGTTTGAGATTAGGTAAACTGCAGAAAAATGAAAGGTGCTTGGCATTCAAAACAATTTTTTTGAATGTCAAGCCTTTCATATCATTCTGGACCAGTACGTGTACAGTTGATTGTTTGACATTGTGATTAAACCAAAAGTAAGAAGAATAAATGATAAACACAAATGTGTTCATACAAATGATTACAAACCACCTACATGACTTTTAATGATTACAGTGTCACCCTCCCTCCAGCAGGCTGGCCATCTGGCCGGGCTAATGTGTATATGATATGACATGCCAGCACTTTCGCTGTCGGCTTTGTTATTTTCTTACCCCCCCTCCACTAATGGCCATTTAGTGCACTTCATAGCAGGTGTCTGCGGAGGCGGGACGCACCATCTGTACTTTGCAGGTGGTGAGAGAGCTCCAACCGTGGCCGAGCGCTCGCCAGCAACGTGCGCTAATGCAGGTTTAAATAGAGGTGACTCGAGGAAAGAGGAGACATTTACTGGTGATGTGTCTGAAGAGCGGGCTGGTTTTAAAACAGCCTGATAAAGTTGAGAAATCACGCAACAAAAGTGTGAATTGTGTACGTGTGTAGTTTGTCACACACTGACTAAGCACGCACACCTCTCCTTGTGTAAGAGAGTTTTGTCACCAGCTCGATAATGACCCATAACCTCTTGAGAGGCTCCCAGGGGGCTGCTGGGTACAACAAACAAACACTAAACATCTCAACAGGGATTGTGGCTCACACACATCTGTGCTCTTTTACCACTTAAAGACCATTCACGTTTCTTCCTCCTCCGCCCCCCCCAAGCCACATGCAGGAACACACACACTATACTTTCACTACCCCCCGCTCTCTTCTGGTTTATAACAAAGACAGATACCACAATGATTTCGCAGATGTTGTATTTGTGTTGTCTGAGTAGAAATGACAGGATGCACTGTGAAGTGATTATACGGTTTAGTCCAACACTAGAAAAGAATCTAAACAAAAAGGAAAATCACCTCGGATGAATTTAAACACTTTTCGATGAGATGAGTGAATCTGTACTAGAGTGTTATCTATAAGGCCAAACTAGTCACC